AAGAAATTAGCTGACATACCCGGTGCTGCAGTCTGGCTCCAGCATGTTTTAGATCATGAACGCAACTGATTTGTTTAATTTAGTGATGATTCACTTCTGTAGACACTATTGAAGGCTGGGCAGACGTTTCAACTGTTAGACTGAGGTGTTAAAGGGGCATTATGGAAGTGTGACAGCCAAAACATGTATAGAAATAATAAATGTCTTCTTCATACGTTCTCCTGCAACGCCCTGGTCCTGTAGAATGAGCCCTGGCATTTTTACTGTGATTGCCTGTTTTTCTGTAAAATCACAGAAAAAGAGAGATGCTCGGGTCGAGCAGGCTGCTTCATGTGCGTTCACGCTCAGGCATCGCCCGTAGCATTTGCTATCCGTAGCTTTAGCAGCAGAGAGAGAGGCAGTGCCACTTTGTCGCTGTTCCTAACGCCTAGTGACAAAGCTAGCTACATTTCTGAGGACCCTTAGCTACTTTCTGTAGAACTTTCTTCTAGATATTTCCTGCTAATTAGCAACAAAACAGCCATTTTCACTCCGAACCGTTCTTTGGTTTGACGTTGTTTCAGCTGTCATCAAGCATATAAATGTTACAGATACTGTGAATGTTAGTGGTGTTTAGCTCACCCTGTAAGATGTCGGACTCTCATGCAGAAGACCTGGGTTTGATTCTGGATGTGAACATAGTTCATTTAGAGTTTATTTTTACATTAATGGTATATTTTTTACAGTAAGATGCCCAAATTTTTATTTGAGACTGGCCGAACGGCATTGAATTCACAGATAAAAAAGATGTGGGTTCAACTTTCATTTTGGAACAATTTTTCAAGCAAGGGAAGGGAATGATGTGAGCATGCAGGAGGACTGACCCATCATCAACCTTTGTCGGCTGTGTTGAAGAGAAAGCTACAGAACCAAATTATTTAATTAATTAGCTGCGCGTTCTCCTGTACTCTGTTCTCCAGGCACACACACACACACACACACACACACACACACACACACACACACACACACACACACACACACGGGACTGTCTCAGCTGTTATTTTCGTTAAGGAGTGTGCACGTATAGCATGTGCGCCTCGTGCACGAGCCTACTATTGAAGCTGCCGTTACGCTCTTGGCCTGAGGGGGCAATCGCGAGCATAAAAATTCAAAAGTCCGTAAAGTCCCTTTAAAAAGACGAACGCACAGCGACAAGATAAGGTTTGATTTAAGTTCTATTGACAGACACTAGGGGGTGCTAAAAGCAAGCCCAAACTGCCAAGTCCCCCTTACACATGAAAATGCAAAAGATGACCATAGACTGGTGTTACACATGAGGTAAAGCTCAGTGTAAAAAAACTGTTTTGATTTTTACAAAAACAGCATTTTATCAAAAAAGGTTTTGTGAGCAGCTTAAATAGAAAACTTGAGATTCAAAAAAAGTTCATTTATGCAGCTGAAATATTTACCTGATTTTTATGGGTTGGTCACTGTTTGGCAAGAGCTCAAGTTCGACAGATGTTAGCACTGTAGTAAAAGTCCCACACCCTCCTTGAATTTAAGATTTGTAACTTTTTACGACATGATTTATCTTTGCACAGGCTTGCAAGCTGTTAATGTTCTGTTTATGACTTCTAGTAACTTCCAAATTAGCAGAAACGTTAATGGAAAATAAAACTGTGCAACATTTCAGCCAGTTTTGTAGTTTTTCTCATGTTAATAGCTAAAAGTTACTCATTCACACCTTCTGCAAAACAGTTAAACAGCTCAGTTCAGGGAAGAAAAAACGAACGCAGACACACAGACTCCAAAAACTCAAACGGCGGTTGATCAAAGCGAGGTTTAATCTAAAGGGTGAACAAAGCTTCACGTCATCAAAGTTTTAGTTTTGCTTTGAATTCATACATTTATTTTGTAAAATACACCAAAAGTTCTCGTTGAACCCCTTGGCTGTTACTCTTGCTGACAGAGTGTGAAAAATATTTGTCTCAAAACATTAACAAGGATTCTCAATTAATTTGAGCAAGTGGCAGATTCTTGTGTTTTCTCAATTTGGTGACAGAGTTGCTATGAGCTAGCCTGGTAGGCCATCCTAAATATGTAAGCATGACCCACAGACAGACCTCAGCCGTGGCAACGGAACCTGCGGTCGTCTTTTAAACTGTCTGCGCGCAATTGGACAGCGCTAGGACCAATCAGAGCAACAAACAATGCTATGGAAATCCATCAAATGAGCAATCCACCATACACCTTCCATTTAAGTACCTTTATCTGCTCATTCTCTAAGAAAAGACTAATTCTAAATCGTTTTAAGTTGATGTCAAAGCAAACACAGACATAATGAAGACATTTGAATGACCTTTGTGCAAATAGCACAACATTTAAACGGATGCAAAATTTTCATATTTTTAAATCATTTTCTGGAGCCAGTATGTGCTAAAACAAACTTTTACCAGGTTAATGAAATGGCACTTTGACCCCTACCGCCCCCCTGTGGCCAGAATACCGCATTTGCAATGTCAGAGTGCCGAGCTGAGGACATGGAAGCACAACTGAGCTACATACCTTGCGCTGCAGTCTGGCTCCAGCAGGTTTCCTGCATGTTTTAGAAGACGAACACAGCTGATTTGTTTGATTTAGTGATGAATCACTCCTGTAGAGACTAATGAAGGCTGAGGAGACATTTCAGCTGTTACATGAAGGTGTTAAAAAGACAAACGCACAGCGAGGAGAAAAGTTTCCCTTTTGCTTTGACCACAGATAATGAATTCCGGACACTAGGGGGTGCCAAAAACTGCTTAGTATCCCTTTAATTTTCAGCTTTCACAGCTATTTGAAAACACAGATTCATGATGTGAACTGAAAAATTGGATTTTTGTCTCCCTTTTTTGTGCATTTATGTACAGCCGAGCCTTAACGCTAGAGGGTTCCCACCATCTGTAATGGAGTCTTTATTTAAAGATTAGTGGGAATTTATTTTGATTTTGTCGGCCAACATTTTATATCATATTAATGTCGTCTTGAAGGTTGCAGACTAAATATCGTTGCAGTCCTCTCTTCCATTTAATCTTCATTCATGGGACATTAACTGATAACACTGATTCTAGAAGAATACATTACATTTTACATCGTAGTACATGCATTAAAATAAGACACAATAACTTCTCAGAGCAATGGGATGGAACTGATAAAACATCTGAAAACTCCTTACATGCTTGATTAGCAGGACATTGTCTCGTTTATTGTTCTTTGTATTGATTATCCATAAATATCTGCACCAGTCAGAACAAGCAGCAGGCTGTGAGGTGTCAGGAGGGGAAATAAAACCCTCAGTGTGTCTCTTCCAGATGCCATTATGGATCTATTCAGGGCCTCTATGGCTATTTCCACTGAGCGGAGCATGTAACCCCACACCATTACTGAAGGCTTCCTGAGTCACCATCACTCTCCCTGGATAAGGCTCTGTCTTTACAGCTGGTGGCCAACACTCAGTACGCAAATGTTATCTTTGCACACACACTGTTAGGTTGTCATGGTGACAGGGGTGTCCCAGCGCTTGTTAAGATGAGCAGCTGCCTCGCCAGAGTCACACTCGTTTGGACCAGTCTCCTTGGGATCAACGACACACGAGGGCTGTTGACTGGACAGCGTCCCACTGGTTTAATGGGTTTGACATGAGAGCCTTTCTCCAGTCACCCGCTTGTTTAAAAAGTCGAATTGGTGTTAAATACTGAAATATTACTTTATTGAGATCAATTACAACCCAAAATGAAGTGAACTTTGACCCTTTTTTTTAACCTTTTGCTCATATAACCTGGCCAGCCACACTATATGTGAAAATATAGTCTGAGCTTGAGCCGTTGTCTTTCAAACTGCTGAATGCTAATGGATAGCACTAGGACCAATCAGCACAACAAAGAAATTGATGCATTAATTTCTACAGAAATCAGTCACTGAGGCAGTCCACCATACCGTGGCTAAGAAGCGGAAGAAGCAAGCAAATCCTTTTACGAATAAAGGACTTACCCCAAAATTCCACTATCTCCGCCCCCGCTTTCCGCCGCCGCTCGCTTCCGAACTCAAATTATACTGTAAGTACAACGGCTCCACCCCGGTGCGGAGACCTGAGGTGCGCAAACAGGCATGCGTGGGATTTTCGAGATCTCGCGATACAGTCCGAGCAATAAATGCAGAAGTTAGATCCAAACACCCGTTGTTTGGGAGAAGCATCGGCATGAACTGTTTAATCTGCCCATCATTTGTGTTGAGAGATCAGCAGTGTTTGGATCAACAAAGGGTGACTACTTTGATAGTAGAAACTGTATTTATGGCTTATTTTTGTGCATTTAAAGTTCAACCGCCATTGATAGTTGTTAAAAGTTGTTAAACCTGTGCATATGAAACAAAAAACGCTTTTTGTTTATCGATTTATTGTGAAATAACGGAAGTTGTGCTCCTTTTCCTGTTGGGCGGTTGCGATTCCTGTCCATTGGCTGATCCATTGATCGATCCTATTTTTGCCGGATGGCGGAACGGTGGGTGGTGCACTGCGCCGCACGGCCACGGTAGTGGAACAGCTCTGATTGACTACAACGGGACCATTTTTGCTGCGGAGTTGGTGCCGGAGCGGAGCGGAGACGGTGGAATTTTGGGGTTAAGGACCTCTATCTGCTCGTGTCTCAAACAAAAGCCCAAGTCTAAGTCGTTCACCTTTCCTAAGCCAACACCATCTTTGTAGTTTCCATCGCATCTCTAGTGTTAAGCCCCTCGAACGCAGAGCGCTGTGATTGGCCAGACACAAAACTGGTCAGGCCAATGGTAGATTTGCTGAGGCCACAATGGAACGTGGCTAGACCGACCTGCGGAGCAAAACCTTTTTGCTGTTGTTACGGTTGGGCTAGATTTCTAGGCCTGTGACCGTTGAAACTGTTGGATTTTCCCCAAAACACGTGCTTATTTACAAAAGTCTCTGTAACGTGAGGGCGCCAACTGAATGAGTTTGTAATGTGTTTGCTTAGGCGTGCGTCTGGACCGGGTCCGAGGTGGCAGGCAGAAGTACAAGAGGAGAATAGATGCGGAGAACAGCTCGTACCTCCACTCTCAGAACTACTTACCTCAGAAAAAAACACGTAAGTATGCAAAGAACCAAAGTTCTGCTGCTCAGGACCCGACAGGCTGAGATGATGTCCGTGCTTCAATCATCAACCGCGTGCAAATCTTTAAACCTCTCAGTTCAGGCTTCATTTTCTTGCAGGATGCAGATTGATAAGCATTCAGGTATCTTTTCTGATTTTACAAATGGGATCAAAACTGCGGCTGTCTTCTTATATGATGGCAGTAAGTGCTGGATCTGTTTCAAGAGCTGCTGATGAATCAACAAGATCTTCCTGGTAGCAGCATCTCAAGGACAGATTCTCGTACACGAACACTTTCTTTTTTTGTGTTTCCTACTTTTTTCTTCTGGTAAAAAGCTTTAATCTTTGAGTAAATGAAAACGATGAAGTAATTATAGACTTGTGCAGCTTCTGTAGGTGGTGCAGCGGAGAACAAGGTGATATCTCTGCTGCTAGTCGCCGAGCCAGAGGGCATCTTCGCCATGCCGGACCCGACAGTACCCGAGAGTGACATCAAGGCTCTGACCACGCTGTGCGACCTCGCCGACAGAGAGCTGGTGGTCAACATCGGCTGGGCCAAACACATCCCCGGTATGATTCGGGCGAAATCCTCCTGTCTCACACACTCGCATGTTCTTCACACGAGCCAACACACACACATTAGGTCCACTAAATCCCTAATCAGATCACAGGACGGATTGCCCTGACTTGTGGTTTGTTGCCAAGACAGCTCAGAGGAGGGAGGGGATGCTGGCTTGGCTGTGTGTGTGTGTGTGTGTGGTGGTGAGGGAAATCTGTGCTGTGAACTGCGTGCCATGCCCTGGCTGACCAAAGTGTGTTCCCACACCAATCAGACGACGAGTGGCCACATGGAAGTTTTAATTTGCTTCCTGGGCCTCGGCCATCTCCCCGTTCAGCCTCATCTACAGAAATCCTCCCACACGCTGAGCTCTTCTTCTGTCACACAAGCAGCAAAGAGAACATCCAGTCTGTTCTCCTTTGGATGAAAAAAGGTGGAAAACGGCGCGATTAAAACGTTTGTTGCGTGAACTCTCGGTTGTTGTGAAATTGTGAAAAAGTAGCACAATATTCCTACGTTCTGCTAGCCGTGTAGCTGCTACCGCGCTGTTTTAGCCGAACGTCTGTAAAACTGACTGATGTTTTAGTGTTTGCTGTGTTGGTTAGGGTTAAATTAGCTCTGGATAATTTTAATTGGGTTAAATCCAAAGGTTAATCAGTGTTAGCTACACTGTAAAAAAATGAAATGTTAAATTTACTTAATTAAGTTAAACCTAGATGCTTAAATGTAAAGAGTAATATAGTTTGTTATATGCTGTTACACATCGGTATGTTAAATTAAACCAACTAGGTTTACTGGAACCAGCTGGCGTAACTTGTAAATTCAACTATTCATTTGTTACAGTGTAACAGGTAAATAAACATTTTCACCCAATTTTTTCAATATTTCAATTTCTTTTAGAAATAAAACCAAAAATTATGGTTTTTCAAACGGGAATTTTTTTGGCTTAAAGGGACTTTACGGACTTTTGAATTTTTATGCTCGTGATTGCCCCCTCAGGCCAAAAGCGTAACGGCAGCTTCAATAGTAGGCTTGTGCACGATGTGCGCATGCTGTACGTGCACACTCCTTAACGAAAATAACAGCTGAGACAGTATTGTGTGTGTGTGTGTGTGTGTGTGTGTGTGTGTGTGTGTGTGTGTGTGCCTGGAGAACAGAGTACAGGAGAACGCGCAGCTAATTAATTAAATAATGTCGTTCTGTAGCTTTCTCTTCAGCACAGCCGACAAAGGTTTATGATGGGTCAGTCCTCCTGCATGCTCAGATCATTCCCTTCCCTTGCTTGAAAAATTGTTCCCAAATGAAAGTTGAACCCACAACTTTTTTATCTGTGAATTCAATGCCGTTCGGCGAGTCTCAAATAAAAATTTGGGCATCTTACTGTAAAAAATATACCATTAATGTAAAAAAGAAACTCTAAATAAACTATGTTCACATCCAGAATCAAACCCAGGTCTTCTGCATGAGAGTCAGACATCTTACAAGGTGAGCTACACTCTAGTAACATTCATAGTATCTGTAACATTTATATCGTTGATGACAGCTGAAACAACGTCAAACCAAAGAACGGTTGGGAGTGAAAATGGCTATTTTGTTGCTAATTAGCAGGAAATATCTAGAAGAAAGTTCTACAGAAAGTAGCTAAGGGTCCTCAGAAATGTAGCTAGCTTTGTCACTAGGCGTTAGGAACAGCGACAAAGTGGCACTGCCTCTCTCTCTGCTGCTAAAGCTACGGATAGCAAATGCTACGGGCGATGCCTGAGCGTGAACGCGCATGAAGCAGCCTGCTCGACCCGAGCATCTCTCTTTTTCTGTGATTTTACA